AATGCGAATGGTTTAACAACAATAACAACAACAATGCTATAACATTTAGAACGTATACACAGGAACATTTTGGTCACAGACTTAGAATGTTAAAATTGAATGAAATGACTAGTAAACAGAGTTATTTTTTGTTTCTTTTTGTAGGGATGCATCAATTGTTATGTTATTTTTTATCTGGGTTGGGTAAATATTTGGCAGGTTTTCTTCCTCAAACAGTATTACTGATTCACATGGTCCTTGAAATATCTTCATTTAATTTCTTTTGTATGTGGTAGTTACATGAAAATTAGTGGTGGTAATAATATTCACTTGAAACAAAATAGGTAGGAATGAGGAATCAAATGACATTTAAAGGGCTGAAGCAACTACACCCTTTAAAGAGAGATACAATTTTATTGCTCCCAGCACTCTTCAAAATTTTTATCACTGTGTTTTAAAAACAGTACACTGTTTCATCACCAGGATTTTCTGTTTTTAATTTTGTTCTATAAGAATATTAGAACGCCCATAAACATATTAACATACTGTTGTGAGCACGGTAATGTATTTTGTTTCTATGAAGTGTGAAGAATAAGTTATTGTACCACAAGTAACACTAGTGCTAACTGGTTCGCAGAGTGACGGCTATGGGAATTACTTGATCCATTAGATAAATCAGTGGAAAGAAATTAAATTGTTGTGATCTAGATTGATTAAAGAAAACAAAGAATAACATGAGGCAAAATAGCTAGAATTCCATTTGGAAGCAGTATCCACCAATTACAGTTAAAATATTACCACTATGTCACCTTGCTTGGTCTGAGGCTTTGAAAGAGGTCACTGTTGCTTTATCCATTACTTGATGCATCCCTCTGTTAGAAACAAGTTTCTAAGGAGGTACTATATCTCTTTAAGGTTTAAGTACTTGAGAATATATATCTTTTGGTACACTGAATGCACTAATAAATTGACATGTTGAGGCGGAATCATTGCGACAGTTTGCTGCAAACAGCTAGCTAAAGGACGTTTGGTGGTAGCTATACACAGATTATTTGATTATGTAATTCTTCTTGGAATAAATTTGTGTGCCCTGTCCTAAAGAATTAGAAGCCTTTAACTTCTAAAGTAAGTAGCCAGAAGTCCTATTTTAAGAGAAAATAATTATAGTATATGTATAGAATCAGAGAATTTATGCTCTATACAAGAAATGGTATTATTTAATACTCTCTTCTTTTGTTTGCATTTCAAAAGAGGACTACATAAATTATGGTGTTCACCATTTAATTCAATACAATGATGATACATACTCTATTTAGATTTCAACTACTTTTAATTGGCAGTTCATTTGCAGCTACTAGTATTTTAATTATAATATGTCAGTCGGTGTTATATATGGTTTTATGGCGACTCCTGGTGGGATATTCACTGTGACATAAGTCAGAATTACACTGCCATTGTGTCATAATCACTAAGCAGTGACAAGAATTCTAACCAAATGGTCCCAGTTTATGTATAAAAATATAATGTAATTTGAAAAATTGAAGAGCACAGATGATAAAAAAAATTATTCCTATACATTGATCACAGACTCCATGATTAGTCTGTGTGAAATATACATAATTGTGTTTGCTAAAAATAAATTTGATATTCTTTAGGCATTAATTTATCTGGAGAAAACATTAGTTATCATCTTTCCAAGCATATATGTTTATAAGTAAATGAAGTGTATTACTCTGACACAATAGTTTACAAACTTAAATATACATGACCCTTGTAAAGATGGATTATTTAGTTGCTATCACCCAGAACTTGCCAATTAAATATTTATACAATAACATAACACAAATATGAGATTTGAGGCTTTCATGGTGGTGAAAATTTAGAATATGGCCTTCTGGGTTATGACATTGTGCAGTCTGGTAGATATTTTTCAGTGTTTTGGAGGAACATGCAGCCTTCACCTTCAAGCTGCCCTGCATGAGGGGTGAGCCATAAAACTGGCCCTAGCACTGCGACCTTCAATGGTGATAGAGCAGAAGCTCATAGTCTTATAATACACTGGCGTGTACTAATAATAATGTCAAATACTAAGAGACGTTAAGATGACTTCAACTTAGTATCATTACAAATATGAGGAATACGGTATGCACCAAAAGATACATTACTGAAACTCGCGCATCCCAAACACGCATGTGTGTTTGTCAACAGGGCATAGCTCAAGCCGCACATGTTCCCAGTAGTGAAAAGGAAGTTGTGTTGTGCACCTGTTGGAAATGGGTCTCTTGACAGAGGAAAAAGTATTCATAGTTGAGTATTAATTCTGCTCATATGGAAGTGGTCACCAGAGACCTCACTTCTTTGGTTTTGAGCAGCCAGATGTTATCGTCCCCGGCTGCACTATGGCCCTGGGGTTCACTCAGCCTCTAACAGAAAGGAGTACCAGGAATTAAATAAATAATTTTCCTGGGGAGTAAAGCGCAGCTGGCGCGTAAGGCTGACAACTTTACTGCCATCTTTGAGCCGAATGTCTAGATAATATGGGACCCTCAACATCTCACAACCCTATGGGCCTTCATGGCCTGTTACAGGGATAGCTTTACTTACTTTTACTTTATTTACTTAGATGTTATCATCCAGAAACCGCTACATAGTACACGTGTGACAATATGGTGTGCCGTCTCAGTACACAGTATATTAGGTCCCTATTTTATTGAGGATGAGGAAGGCAATGCTCTTACTGTCACCCAAGAATGCTACAGGGACATGGTGATCGACCATTTCTTCAGGATTTGAGAAGGTTCTGTCGTGCAAGGGGCATAGGCAGTGGTATCGACAGGACGTCTTTTCATTTCCGTACTGTAGATTTTGGCGCATACTGTACTTTCCTGTTAATGTGGTACATCTTACTAGATGAAAGACATATTTACATTACATTCAGTCAAATGTATGTTATCCATAACTGTGACTGGGAATTTATGCCTTTAATATATCAGGCAAAAATTTCAGAATATTATCCTTCCTCCAATAAAGACATCGTGCTACTTCTCACACCCTAACTCTTTGAATTGACCTCATAAAGAAAACAAAATATATATGTATAAATGTGGCTGCAGACCAAGTGACCAGTCAACTAGTGACCACCTGCTCATGCTGGTTCCTCGCTCGTGGATTTTTTATTTCTTTTTTCTTCTGCCCTGAAGATGGAGGCGATACGTTCCTCCGAAACGTCGGTTTATACTGTGTCTACACGGCACCACATCCCAGAAGACGGTATTCTTCATAGTCACCGCTGTGAAAACCTCAAATCTTACATTATCTAGACTAGTTTGTTGATACACTATTTAAATGATACAACAGGCATTTTTGCATGTAGTTCCATTAACATTCTTAGCTGAGATGTAACAGGCGTGGGATGGCTTTTTAAATTTGTACTTCTATGTAATGTTTTTCAATTGACCTAATTCTTCCAGTCGCACTATGGCCCTGGGGTTCACTCAGCCTCAAACAGAAATGAGTACCAGGAATTAATTAAATAATTTTCCTGGGGAGTAAAACGTGGCTGGCGCGTAAGGCTGACAACCTTACCGCCATCTTTGAGCCAATTGCCTAGATAATGTGGGACTCTCAATGTCTCACAACCCTATGGGCCTTCATAGCCTGGTACAGGAATAGCTTTACTTTACTTTTACTTCTATGTGATGATGTGATATGACATTTGTCAGTGAATCTTAATATTTGTTTTAGAGTTTGAGGAAGGTACTAAAATTCTGAAATGTTATTCCAATGTGTACACAGAGTTTGTTGTTTTTAATGCTTATTCTATGTCATGAAGCCTGTGATGAATTCATTTAACACAAGAAGATCATTACTTGATTGAGATTAAATTATTAACAACGTTTTTAGGCAGTGGTACTGAATACTCTGAATTATTAATTTAATGGTCTGTTTTAATTCCTGCCGTTATATTGAATTTTAAAACATTTTAGTTAGGTTGGTCATAGTTTTATCATGTCTTCAATAGAATGATTTCATTTTACAGATCTGAATACAATTGTTGCATTAAGGATGCATCATACTATAAAATTAAAATTTTGAGTGGCATAAGAGTAAGTGGATATGAATTTGTAAAGGAGATACTGGAAGGAAGGAAGGAATGTTGATTTTCGTTGTGGTTTCAGACATAAGCTTTTTTACAATAAATTTACTGTTTTAATTTATGAAGAGGATTTAGGCACACCAAAGTGCTGTAATCCTTGTGTCAGATCTGCTTATCTTAGCACAAAGGATTACTTTGATTGCTCACATACATTCCGACAAACTACGATATCATTATGTTGCCACACATGAATATAATTGTGATATATTTACTTTCTAGGTTCTTTGTTTTGAAACTTTAAGTTCCTTTTAGTCTGTATTTAGCAATTCCAATGGATCACTTAAATGTTTAAAATACAGACAAATCCCTAGCATCCTGTTTCATTTTTGGAGAAGATATGTTGTAATGTGAGGATTTTGAAGTTATTATGTTACTGTCATTTTAGAACATGTCTGTGGGGAAACAGATACATTGAACTGAAAACTGTAATAAATCATGCTATTTTCTGTTAAAGACACATTTCATGCTTATTTCCAGCTAAAGACTGAGATGTCACTAAAATAAACTTGAATTGATTCATAATTTAATAGCAAATTGAGGCAAAAGAAGATTTAAAAATACTGGATTATTAAATAAAAATTTTGAGATATATGTAATTTCATGCTCTTTACAAGTATGAAAGGCAAGTGCTCGCAGCACTTTTGAATCATACTCCCTGACTGAAATCAGTAACTACAATATGATCACTCCCTGTTTTGTAACTTGAGATCATTTTCTTTATAGTATGTACATTAAATTGGATAACATAAGCTGGATACAGCATAGTTTCAGCATGATGAAATATAGTAATGACTCCTCTAAAATATACAGTTCAGTAAATGAGGACAGTCTGTAATGCTAATATGTAAATCAAGATCTGCTTCCATAAGCATTTTACTGACCTTGTTTATTTTAAAATATCCAGGACATGATTGGCTACATATTTTATTTATTCATAAATTCTCTTGTAGTCTTAAAATAACCTTTTTCTGTGGCTAAAAATCCTCATGGTTGCAGAATTCTTATTATTATGAAATTCATTTACTGTAAGTTATTCTTAAATTACATGGAGATACTGTATATATTTGGTGTGTTTCTTGACTTCTTGATTTCTTGATTGAGTCACTGCTTTATTTTCTAAAAGCATCAGTAGTTCTGTCTACCGAGTTCTGTGTCATGTTTTAAAACGTATTTCTAACCTTAGTTTCTTCTAAGTAGCCCCCCTCCCCCATAGTGCAGTAGTATGTTTCTGACTTCTCTTCATGCACAGCATCAGGAAAAAAGAACTCTGCCCCTTTGGAAAGGTACTTCCCCATCATAATATTCATTCTTTGTAATTATATATGATAGTTTTAAAGTATCTCCCATAGGTGTATCACAAATGCTTAAAGTTCACTGTTGAAGTGTCAAAACAATTTGTTAGACATCCACATGGAAAATGGCTTACAGTCATTTCCCCTGTCATACATGTATGTACTAGATATGAAGATCTTTGGTTTAGTATGCTTGAAAGATCAATGAGAGACACAAATGTTGCAAGTTTCTGAAGATGAACATGGAATTTTCACCCATGCATTTCTTAATAACCGAAAGGAATGTCATTAGTTGAATGGCCACTGTGATCACATGAAGTTTCTGGACATTTTATGTCATGATGTGCCATTTTGGTGTCGTCTTCATTGTTGCGTCTCATGTAACACTGCCAATTTCAAGTTAAAAAATTATCCATAATTATCTGAACTTCAGTATATCTAAACACATTGATCACCATATTCCAAAAGATTAAAGGATTGTTGTCTCATAGAAACTGTTTTCATGGTCATCAAGTGTTGGAGTTGGCATTGATGCCTGGTCAGGGGCAACTGCCGCTGGAGATGGTTGCCCAATGCTGTGGGATGTTACACTGTCCCCATCTGCACCAAGGGCAGCTGCGTATGGTGAAACTTCACCTCTCATTACACAGATGACATTCGTTAGGGCCATAACATAGTTTTTTGCTAGGGTGAGTGTTTCTATTTTGGATAGCCGTCGTTCTTTCTTCACATGTGGAATGACTTCTCGCAGGGACTGGAAAGCAAGAATAGAACTCATTCAGAGATGAATGTTTAGATTAAAATAAACAGCTCACATTTACATATGAGGGCTGATTATGTTAGGCAACAAGGTTATGGCAATGAAAATGAAAACTACATTTTTAAATTCATTCTGGTATTGTGATTCCAAATCTGAACATAAAATGTTCATGACATTGCAGTTTTATTCATGTATGTATTGTATGTTTCTTTCACTTCTGTATCATTTTCTTGGTATTATAATTTTTGTCAACCATAATATGAGAAAAGACCGTCTCTGTGGTCCAGTGGTCTGAGATCCTGCCTACAGATCCAGAGGGCCGGGTTCGATTCCCGGCGCTACCAGATTTTCTGAGAAGTAGTGGGCCTGGAACGGGGTCCACTGAGGATAACTGAGAAGCTATTTGAAGGAAATAGCGACTCCGGTCTAGAAAACCGAGATTAACGGCCGTGGGGAATCGTTGCGCTGACCACGCGACATCCTCTATCTGCTAAATTTGCCACTAACTTCGCCGACAAGCGGCGGTCGCTTGCGGACTCAAGCCACGGAGTTTGTTTTTGTATAATATGATAAAATATTTTATTAATGATTACAAGTTTATTCTCATTTAGAGGATAACATTATTTCAAATTGCATTGTAAGTGTATGTTCATATGTCTTGTATAAAGAAGTTAGGAGCTAACTAAAAGCTGCCAATTTCACAGTTAGCGTTGTGCTGCCTACTTCTTAACAAGGTGCTTGCGCTAATAACCAGCCTTTTCCACTTCATCATTCACAAATAATTTTAAATAAAATAAAACCATAAATATGTACATGCATATTATTTAAATATATATAGAATTACGTTATTTACATAATTCATACTGCACTATGAATGTTTGTTAGGAAGGTTCCACCTTTATAGGATAATTAGCCAAAAATTAAGATGTGGCTCTTACAAGCCCCCTTGAGTCCGTTGCAGAACATATCCGGGTACAATTTTTTTTTAACATTTTTATGATCATTGTATCCGATTTATCCGAAAGCATGTCCTTGGGTATATGTTATCAAAGAAAGTGAAAATTTGTCATATATATTAGTGATGTACCTTGTATGATCTAATTATATTATAACAATGTAGTGTCGTGTAATGCATGTTCCAGAAATTGGTTAAATATCAGAGAATGTGATATCGCTCCTAAATATGTACCAGTATTGCAATTTCAGAATAGCTGTTTTATGACGTGAAATATTCTTGGAGTATGGGTCAGCCAGAGTCCATAATATTATTCCAGGCGACAAGAAATCCTTTCTCCCCCCTCAGTTTAAAACAGATAAACTTTATCCATACTACATCAAATTAATAACACGAAATTTCTAGGTACTATGCCGAAAACCATTATTAAAGTCGCAATTTTTAAAATATTTTTATTTAAAGTGAGGCCTAACAAATTTAGATTACTGCCAATTAATGCCCAAGATATTAGCAAAGGATCAGCATAAATTTATTTTCATTCAACAAACCTCTCCTGTCCGAATCCTGTGGCCTCCCGCGAGCCCTGCCTGCAGACAGTGCTTGTGAATGCTAAGATGACAAACAAAACAAAAAACAAACTCCGTGGTCTATAGTCAGCAAGCGAACTATACCGACCGAGCGACAGCCGATTATCGGCGTGCTTAGTGCCAACTTGGCCGCGCCATAGCTCAAGCGGTTAGTGGCTAGCTTCCCACCACGACGACCCGGGTTCGATTCCGGGTCTGGTCAAGTGGGATTTGTGGTGGACAAAGTGGCGCTGGGGCGGGTTTTCTCCGAATATTTCGGGTTAACCTTCCAATCTTCATTGCACCAAATACTCCATCATCATAATCACCTGGGGCAGGCTACAACAGGCCAATCAGTGGCCGCCATGCCGAGTGGACCCAGTTGGACTCCACCCCCCACTAAGCGAAATGAGTATAGTGCCAACTTTAGCGGATAGAGAGTGTCGCGTGGTCAGTGCAACGGATCCCCACTGCCGTTAATCTCGGGTTTCTAGACCGTAGCCGCTAAAACCTTGAAATATACGTAGCTCCTCAGTTATCCTCGAATGCTAAGATGACTCCTCTGAAAACTACCTGGAACGCATCGTTGAGGCTGTGCATTCTCATTCTCTCCCTCTCGTTGCTTTCCAGTCGTCTCAGATTTCTCTCCTTGGCACTGAGCACTGGTTTTCGTCTTCTTGACGAAGCTGCCGTCCCTACTGAATTTGGCACAGACAGATATTGGCTCGAGGTAGCTGACACGTTCTGTAGACGGCGGGAACTTCTCGTAGTGTAGGTCGTTGTATCATCGCTCACCTGTACAGATTTCAAAACGAAAAGTGACATCTGGAATACAAGAAAATGAAATGATGTGCATTACGCCCTTATTTACTTCTTTGTACACTAATTATGTTATATTAGGGGCGATCGAGTGAATAGGAAACAATGGAAAATTGGTGAAACAAAAATAAATCTATCCCTAGAACAGGCCGTGGAGGCCCGTAAGGCTGTGAGACGTCGAGGCTCCCACATTTTCTACAAAATAGGCTCACAGATGGCGGTGAGGTCAGCCTTACGCATCGGCCTCTCTTTATCTCCAGGAAGATTTCCGGTACTCATTTCTGTTAGAGGCTGAGTCGACCCCAGGGCCACAATGCGGTTGCAAGGATTAGGTCAATTGAAGAATCCAGTAACCTAATCGGGATCAAACCCGTGACCTCCCGGCTTACTGCTTAGCGCCTGAATCAACTACACTACCGTTACAGATACGTTACGAACAGTTAGGTAAATGTACTTAATATTTTTATTCGCACCGTATTTGTTCAGGGGAGGATGAGGTGGGCAGAGCATGTAACATGAATGAAGGAGACGAGGAATGCATATAGGATATTGGTGGGAAAGCCAGAAGGAAAGAGACCACTGGGAAGACCAAGGCGTAGGTGGGTGGACAGTATTAAACTGAATTTTAGAGAGATAGAATGGGATGGGATGGATTGGACTGATCTGGCTCAGGATGGGGACCAGTGGAGGGCTCTTGTGAACACGGTAATGAAACTTCGGGTTACATAAAATGCTGGGAAATTCTTGAGTAGCTGCAGATTTGGCGGCTCCTCAAAAAGGGCTCAGCTCCATTAGTAAGGAAGTAAGTAAGTAACTAATTACCTATTTGTTTAACCATTTTTATCCCATTACAACTTTGAGGTAAAGATTAGTTAAAGGTAAATTTATCCCGTAAGTAAAGGCCGGTGTGCTTAACAAACTAAGCACTATGCCATGAAAACATGTGGGGTACTGGATGTATAGCTCCACCTTTCTTCACGTCGGCACTAGACGGAGGTAGGTGGTCAGCTTCACACCCCAGCCGCTTCACCCGTGAATAGAGCCCCCATTATCCAATGAATAGGCTGGGTAGGCCTAAGAGCTGGTCTGGACGATGTAGGGTAGATTAAAATTTCTTGCCCCTGCCAGGAATGAAACCCCAGTCGTCCAACCCGTAGCCCGTCAATATACCGAATGCTCTATCTCAGATCCTGTAACCTCGGTCCGTCGGTCGAGTAAACTGCTGCTGGCCCTCGATAGCACAGTGATTTTTGGTTTCAGGTCTCATCGAGATGTACGACCAGGGTTTTGTTCTCTCCTAGACATGTACATGTTTAGAAATTTGGCCTCCGCTTCGATGAGGGAAGGGGTCGTTCTTTCTCTGTAGGTGCTTCTGACTGACTATTAAATTGCTGCTGATCCTCGCCAACCCAGTGATTCTTGGTTCCGAGTCCCACGGGACTCGTGACCATATTGTATTGATTTTATTTTTTATCTCCTGTAACTCTGAGGTAACAACCACTATTTCTATATTGTAACATGAAGGCTGAAAGCCAGACTTATGTAACAAAAAGAGAAGGCTGTTGTTAGGCAACGGTATGACAAAAACATGTTTCCGCGGCACCGAATATACATGCAATAGAAACGCCGCGGAAAACCGCGTTTTCTCTGCTTTCCATGCCGAGGCGAGAACCAGCGGGGCAGGTTAGTTAGTTGTGAATCGGTAGCCAACACTCGTAGTGTTTGGTGGTTAAACGTGAAGTAAAAAGATCTCCACTGTTAGAAGCCTCTACCAAGCAATGACTTCTGAAGACAAACTAAAAACACTTAGTGAGTGCTGTCATTATTTGTAGGGTATGTAGATTATTGAGAATGTTATAATTCATTGTGGTTACAAGTCATAAGCGTTGAATAAATTCAATAACCAATCAGAAACCAATGTATAGTCACTAACACGTGACAATATTTATCCCGTGCTGCATTATGCTAGAATTCTGTAAGCCACTGTGTCCTAGATATTACCACATGGTAGTTATTGTTAAAGTCGAAGATTCGTACATTGAGCAGTTACAGTATGTTAATAACAGTAAGTATTGTCACGTGATAGAGTGACTATAGACGGGGTCTGGATTAGTAACCAGATTTACTGAATTCTTACAACTCGTAACTACAAGTAAGGATTATGCTCTCACTGTTCTACACATGCCACAAATCACGGGGCACACTAGGTATTCTCACTGTTATAGTATTCACAAGCCGTTGTTTGGTGGCGGCTTTCAACGGGCGACGTCCCCCTTCCTCTGTTCCCGAAACGTCCCCGTGCCTCAGCTACCAGCTTCCAACAGCAACACCTGACTATTGAGCCGCAGCAGTCCTCTCTCTCACTCACTCACCAACCAACCAACCAACCAACCAACTGACTCACTCCACTGACTGACTAATTACCCTATTTATAACACCTCGGCACGGACCCCACAGAAAACACCATTCCTCTGTTGCTGTGAACTTGTTACATTCGTGTCTGTTAGGGTTCCCACGTGATCCCTATTGAGACATTGCCTAACAACGGCCGTTGTTTGCAGAGCCATTACCGACCGTTGTTGTACGTTGCTTATTTCACGGTCGTTGCATAGCAACGGATCTACATGCCACAATATTATCACAGTTCCTCACGACTACAGGAAGTTTAGAAGTAATACGATGGAATTGCCTTCAGTGAAGTATCCGCTACTATCACGTTTCGAAAATCGGCCAGTTGTTATGTCTGTATAAGGGAAGGGGGGGGGGAGAGAGACAGAGACAGAATTCAATATCTGAGTTCCGAGGAAGGAAGAGCAGCCCTAACAAGCAGAAACTGTACACTTCGCATGAGTTATTCATAGTACGTCAGTGATGAATACGTCAACCTCATCCATTTCTATGCTACATTTATCATGGGGAATAAAAATGGACGCAGCTTTGAGTTAGTTTGGAGCAGCGTCGCATGTTTGAAGCCCGGGGCTTGGCGCGCAGCAAAGCCGAGGGCAGATTAAATGAGGCCCAGAAGAGCAATCCACCGCCCCCTCCAGTTAAAAGCAGTTCGGCTTTCTCAAAACTTCCGTCACAATTAATAACAGGAAATTCTCCGACACTATAAGGAAATCAGTTGGAACGCGGTAGCGTAGTTGGTTGAGGCACAATGCTACAAGCCGGAAGGTCGCGGGTTAATTCCCGATTAGGTCACTGGATTTTCAATCGACCTAATATTTCCAGCCGCACTATAGCCGTGAGATTCACTCAGCCTCTAATAGAAGTGAGTTCCAGGAATCTTCCTGGGGTTAAAGAGTGGCCGGTGTATAAGGCTGACAACCTCAACACCATCTGTGAGCTGATTGTCTAGAAAATGTGGGAGCCTCAACGTCTCGCAACCCCATTGGCCTCCACGGTCTGTTCCAAGAATATCTTTAACTCTTTGTTCACTATAAAGAAATCCGCCATTGGTTTTCTTGTTTTGAGCTGAGTGATTATCAGGGCCCGGATTTTGATGACCTGAAAATATTTAAAAAATGACCGAAATAATCCAGAAAAATGACCTAAAATACGACCCAAAAATGTAATATGCAGGGCTCGAATTTTGATGACTTGAAATATTTAAAAATGACCTATAAAATGACCGAAAAAATCCAGAAAAAAATGACCTCAAATATGACCCAAAAATGTAATATGCAGGGCTCGGATTTTGATGACCTGAAAATATTTAAAAAATGACCTATAAAATGACCGAAAAAATGCAGAAAAATGACCTAAAGAGAAAGAGCAAGAGCACTTCGCTTCCATATTATTCACATTTCAGAAACCATATGAAGAAAAATTCCCTAAAATGGCCAAAAATTACAAGAAATACCCTTAAAAGTCCAAAAATTTACCAAAAAATTACCCCCAAAACGAAAATATGACCTTAAACCTAAAAATGTCAAAAAATTACCCATAATATTTACATTTCTGTATCCAGCAGCTCATATCCGAGATTTATATATTTAAGAGCATCGCATAGGATACAAGAAAAAGAAGATGACATGTCATCAAAATCCGGGCTCTGGTGATTACACTCTTTGGCCTCTTCCAATTCAGGTTTAATTCTGATGTAATGGTAGGGCTCCTTGGACGGGAGATCAGCCAGTCGCAAGGTCGCTACCTACACACACAATAACATAAACACAGAATAAACACAGGCAAACATCTGTGTCTCGAGTAGGATTCGAACCCTCGATCCAAGTGGACGAAGAAATTTCGTGCTTTAGACCTCTCGGCCGCTGTGATCGGCCGTCATTTGTTTTATAACTCTTAACACAGTTTAGTTTGTAATGTTACGCAACATGTTCAGATTACTGACAATGTGAACAAAAAATCGGCAAAAATTATTTTCATTTGACAGTAAAAAAGTATTGGCCCCCAAAACTCATGCCGCCCCAAGGGCGGCCCCACAGGCCGGTATTGTAACGTCGGTCTGAGGGGCTAGAAATTCAAGGTAGGCGAGGAAGTGAGAGAAGTTAATCATATCTTCAGTTTAGTTTTATGTTTAAAAATAAAAGACTCTAATCAGAGACATTTTGGTCGGTCAAGGTGATTCAGTCACCTACCACTACTAATCTATGGGACTGCCTTTCCCTGCCTCGATACAGGTACAGCTTCAAGGCTAAAACAGTCCCTGTATTTCATTAATTAAGTACCACGCCATGAACATGTATGGAGGAGCGGAAGTATAGCTCCACCATTCTTACATTAGGCGTTAGATGAAAGAGAATGTTCATCTTCACGCTCCGGCCGTTTTATCTCCGAGGAAAAGTCCTCCGGTGCCCGTTGTATAGGAGGTTGGGCGGGCCCCAGGGCCTCTCTGGAAGTTGTGGAATAGAGAAATATTTCTTGTTCTTTCCTGGAATCGAACGTGGTCCTCCATCCTCTTGCCCGTCGCTATAACGACTGAGCTAGTCTCAGGGAAGAGAAAAATGTGGAGCCAG